CTACTCAAGCGCTCCCCTGCACAGACGGCGGCTCTTCTCTAAGAATTTCCTGGTGAATGACGCCTAGGCGATCCTATCAAATCGACAGCAACAGCATCAGCAATGGAGCTCCTGTTTAACGACATCATCCAGCTTTTCACTACCCACTGGCGCTTGATCTTCTAGTTGACGTAACTACAGCGTTTCTGAAATTGGGGATTCACCAACAACGATGTGCCCTGAACGGCATCCAGTCATCACAACCGTCCATTTCAAAACTTGGCTGCCATCCTTTCACCGCGCAGTTGGTAAGGTCCGTCTCAGACTGAAGATGATAAAGCATGTCTTTGTGAAACTTCGAAAAAGAATAGAATCTAGATCTTACCTCGGCAACATTCTTCCCAACAATACATCGGCTTTTTTCTTCTCTTCCTGCAATTGCTTTGTTCTATCTTCCACGTCTAACTCAAGAGTCGTTGTGTAATCTTCCAGCATGTCGAACATATGGTCCATCAGATTGCTTTTTTGATCGGGCATCATCGTCTTGAATGTACACGAACTCTCCTCTTATGTTTTGCTTTTTGCCATATCACAGACCCTGAACTCTTCGGCAAAACTCATACCTTCAACATATTGCACAGTATATCTCCGTTTGGTCTGTCTGCCGGCTTTTCACTCCAACAGTCGGCCGAGTGAGACCGAAGCTGAAAAGACTGGATATAGCTTGATTTCTTCCTATACGTGGAACTTTTTTTTATTTCTTGTCTGGGATCGTATTTACGAGAGGGGTACCCCTCTGGTCAAGTGAGCGCGAGTTGCATATTGCATATTCAAGACTGACAACAACGAATCACCTAAACTTGGGAGCGTTGGACGCAAAGGCTTTTTCCTCAAATTCTACATTACGTAATGGACTTCAATCGTGCACCCGTCACTGGAGGTTTCCTCTAGTGAAGTTCGTTACAGGAGATGGATTCTTTGTTGCTGTTGGTGTGATTCAATTCGAATAAGTTTTCCGCTGAAATGTTCTCTTGCATGCGTGCTTGGTGCGACAAGCTACGACGGGACTAACTTCGAGTATCTCCTGCTATGTACCCAATCCGCTGAATGTGCGGGTATATTTGCCTGTTCGACATGGAATTCATAACACTCCTCGCAGCAATAGTGGGCAATTAGCCCCATACAAGATAGAAGGCGAAACTAACACACTGAGAACGACAGCCCGCTATAAAACTTTGTGCAGCACTGATGCTATGAGCTATACTATGACTGATATACCCTGATAGGCAATATAGCTAGGGGTATAATTGAGTGGTACTCAGTGGAGCTTTGTCTGGACCACCTAGAGAGTACCTTAGCAACGTAGCTCATAAGAATCCTTAGCTACCATGGATCAGCAAACGAAACTAGCGGAAGTGCCAAATCCTCCCTCCTCCAAGTCGAACAGTACACTCTGAGTATTAGTCCCTCGAAATCAGTCGTTCATCAGAACTATTCTTCCACCCTTACCCATAGTAACAAACAGAGGTCTGATCTCTGAAGCAACTGCGTTCCAGATAAAAAGTGGATGTTTACTGTCGTGTGATAGTCAGCAGTATATGACTTCATCAGTGACACTGGAATCATCTTTCGTCATCAAAATTAGTGATATCAGTTGAAGGGCCCTACTGCTGCATCGCTGTGCATGTAGGAGCAGGACGTTTATCAACGACAGATGCATGAAAACATATGCTGCTCCAGCGATGGAGAGCACGGAGGCAGGAGGTTGTGTTTGTAAAAGCAGGAAGGCCAGCGGCCGGCATGTAAGCAGCAGCATTTAAGGGGTCCTTGTTGGGTTGCTCAGCTTTCCACGTCCCTTATGGAATTATTTTAGGACGCGGTGGCGCAGTGAAAAAACAGACAGGAGGAGCACCTCTTGGCAAGACCTTGAGACCTGGTGCCCTGTATCATAATTCGATCCTCGTACTTCCGTGTTACAGCGCGCGTTGGGCAAACGGGGTCCCGGCTGAAGCATTATGAAACAAAGTGGAACGGGCAGGGTAGAAATGTCTAGACGGTCTGGTTCCGAACTTTTATTAGGGCCAGGCCAACACATACATAGCGAAAGATTCCCATTTCCGGTGAATAGAGGGAGAGCAGCAAACTAACAGTTTGAGGAGAAAGTGTTCCTTCCGCTGGATTGAGGTATTTGCTTAGAGAAATGGTGAAAATGAGTGTTAACAGGTCGCTGAACATCTTCACATCTGTGTGGGCGGTGAGGGTTCAAGTGTTCCTCAGAGACATTTCTCTGTAGAAACCTTCAACAAGGCATGCTAGGTGTGCGAGAGTAATAGGAATTGTTCAGCTTGTCTGGAAATAACAAGAAGTGCAGAGAAAGAGAGCAAAGTAAGAGTTCAAGGAGAGAAGGGAAGCCTATTTCTTTAGCAAAATAAGTCGGTTATCACAAGAATGCAGACTGAGTTGCGGGCAAAAGTCGGACCAAAGTCGGACCGGACGGGATTCGAACCCGCATCTTCTGCTTACCGGGCAGTTGCGTTCCCTATTACGCTACCACTTTTGACCTCTCAGCTCAATGGCTATTTGTGCCATTGCCTTCGAGCACTCACACGTTCAACGTGATGAGCCGGTTAGCCGATATCGGCAGTGAACCGCAAGGCTGAAGGCTTTTTACAAGTTTCAAGCTGTTATTGTTTGATAACTGCTGTTTAACGCCGCAGTGCGCGATCCGAAAGTTATCGCTGGGGCCACTTCGAGCACTCGCACAGCACGAGTGAGTGCTCAGAAGGCAATGGCACAAATAGCCATTGAGCTGAGAGGTCAAAAGTGGCCCCGGTAGCGTAATAGGGAACGCAACTGCCCGGTAAGCAGAAGATGCGGGTTCGAATCCCGTCCGTGGTCCGACTTTTGCCCACAACTCAGCATTCTTGTGATAACTTTCGGATCGCGCACTGCGGCGTTAAACAGCAGTCATCTAACAATCACAGCTTGAAACTTTTAAAAAGCCTTCAGCCTTACGGTTCACTGCCGATATCGGCTAACCGGCTCATCACGTTGAACGTGTGAGTGCTCGAAGGTAATGGCACAAATAGCCATTGAG